CAGCACACATGGGACCCCCCTATGCCCTCTACCCTTCCCTGGGGACTATAGGTCCTTGTGACCATCCTTATCGCCTGTACTACACACTCCATTCCTGACAGTGCAGGACCAGCTAACCCTGTGCACCCACAAAGGTGCTGGCCAGATCAGGGGACTACACATCTATAAGGATTTTGAAGTGTCATCTCCCTGGGGAGCTTGACCACCAGGATCCCACCCTCCCAAGGATCCTGGGGGTGTGTGGCAAGCTGTTGCATGTGCTGACAGACGTATGGGTTGAGTCCTCAGATGTCCCCAGCACTCCATGTCTCATCCTGTGCACATCTGTACTGTTCCCCCACTCACCTGCTTGAATCTGTTTGCCCTGCCCATCAGAGCACTGCTGCCTAGAGTCCTCTTCTTACTGGTGCCAGAAGGGGCTCCAGGGGCCATCCAGGACCGCTAGAGAAATGGGGCCTGAGTGGGCCATGAAGCCAGTCAACTGGAACTGTGGTTTAGTGTCCCAAAGGACATGTTCAGTCCTCTATGGGCCATCAAAATATCCCATATCTGATGTGATTTTGTAACTTTGAATTTCTACATTTTCCAAGTTCTGTTGAATCTTTATATGACTTTAAAAGCAAATTTTAAAAAATATTGCCCAGGATTGGGGATTTAGCTCAGTGGTAGAGCACTTGCCTAGCAAGCACAAGGCCCTGGGTTCAGTCCTCAGCTCTAGAAAAAAAAAGAAAAAAGAAAAGAAAAAATATTGCCCCATCACTTCCTCTAAGCTAAAGGGTATGCTCCACCACATTCTCGATTTAGCCTCACTCCTCACAGCAGGAGTGACTCTCCTAACACCCCTCAGCTCTCCTGCCCCATCTATGCTCATCATCACATCTCACAACCAGTGAAGAGTAGAGAACACGAAGGGGTTGCATGTGCTCTGCCCCTAGGTGTTCTTCCTCTGCCCTGCCAGTCTTCCAGGAGTGAGAAATGCTCAGTCCGCTCAGGAGCTGGAAGTCAGCTCTTCAGAAGTCATTGATCCTCTCTCCTGGCCCCTTCTGCCCACTCCCTGGAGCTGTCCTTCTGATGGTAAGCAACCCCAGACCACAGTGCCAGGATAGCCATACCTATTGCACACAGAGCCACACTCTTTCATAAACCAGATGCCAAACAACGTAGGGGAACTGTGAATGATAACCCTAGGTCCCAAGTGGAAATATCCACACCCACAAGTGACTTCCTTCCTCTCCAGGTTAGTTGCCCAAATTCATGATGAGCTGCTGTTTGAAGTAGAAGATACTCAGATCCCTGAGTTTGCAGGTGCGTCCAGGGGAGCACAGGGGGTGGTGTTACCCTCAGTCAAGAAATTTGCTGTCTCTTTGAAGCTTCTCCTACTCTGTCTCTCAAAGCCTCTCTCAATTGGCAGCTAGTTTAGTGACCCTAGTAAGGGGAGATATATGTCTAATGCTCCAGAACAGCCTTGAAGCTTCTGTGCACAGACATCCATGGCTGAGCCTCCAGTCAGGGCAGTCTGGAGAGAAGACACAAGCTCACAAGATAGATTGTACTGTCAGGGCCACAAAGCTCCCTTTGGAGGCATGAAAAGAACATCAGACCTGTGCCAGAAGCATCGGGGATTGTGATCTTCCATGCCCAGACTATTGACTGGGAAGGATAACCTGGTGCTTCCTCCTAGCCCTAGCACCATAGCCAGAGCTAGTGGTGTGGGCCTAATGCCTACCACCTCAGCTGGCCTGCCTCTCCTGGGAAGAGCTGGGGTGGAAGGATGGAGCCAGCCCAGTCAGTACAGTGGCCAGAAGGGTGGGCTCAGGGTCCTTTAAGTTGCATCCAGAGCCATGGGTGTGGACATGGTGTTGAACCAGCTGTGAGGTCACATGAGAGGATCAAGGCCCTGACCAGTTGGTTTGAGTGGCTTGTAGACCCAAGAAATAACCAGATAACTTGGGGTCAGGCAGGATCCTGAAGGTTCCTCAGTTCTCAACTCCTAGGGCCTGGAAGCCAGAAGGCTGGCCAGACCTGGACCCACACAGCTGTAAGCAGCTATTTTCCTGTTCTAGCTCTTGTCAGAAGGAGCATGGAGTCCTTGCAACAGGTACAGACCCTGGAACTGCAGCTGCAGGTGAGGAGACACACATCTGCCCAGCATCACTGCCACATCCCTCACAGCTGGAGTCAACCCAGGGTGTGCAAGAGGTCAGGACCCACTCTCCAGAGGTCAGGAAGGCAAGGAATAAGGCAAGCCCCAGCCTTGTGCACCAGGACTGCCACCCTCCAAGCCTCCATTTGTCCCTTTCCCTACTCGATGACTTGGTTTGTCCCTGGTAAGAAGCCACCACCATGGATATCTGCTGCTGCTCCTACCAGCCTACAAACCCCTTCCCTGAGGCTCACCCTCACTGAGGGTGTGAGCACTGGGCCCCACCTACCCCAAGTACACCCCAGGGCATGTCTAAACACAGGCCCACTCTGCACCTGGCTGAATACTGCTTGGAGGCAGCTCTGGGAAAAGACCCCTGGGTGTTTCAGCATAGACTCCCCAGAGCAGTGTAGACAACTGGGCAGGGAGAAACAAGGTGGGAGGCCTTGAAGACTGTAGAGCCACCCAGATGGTACCAGAAACACATCTTGTCACTTAGTAAAGTATCCAGCCCATGAGTACCTCAGAACCAACCAGAGCCACAGAAGCTGGCTGACCACCTTCCAGAGCAGCCTTGGCTCTGCTCACAGGCTCTGAGGCTTTCCTGGGAAAGACTCTGACCTGCTAGACACCCTGCTGCACACCAGGGCATTGTGCACCTCTGGATAGGTGGCAGCTTTTCAGGGTTAAGGAGCAACACATGTATTTACCCTGCCCCCTGAAGTAGTCTACAAAACCTATGCCTGTGGTGGGCAAAGGAGTAGGTGCTAGGGGAGGAGCTTGAAGCCCAGGAAACTAAACTTAGCTGCCATCAGGGGGCCTTCAAGAGGCAGAAGACTATGGCAAACAGCTGGGGGCCATCCCTTTCTTCAGACACAGTGGCTTTGTCTTGGGGAAAAGCCCACCCAAGTAGGGGTCTTCTGTCCCCTAGCATCTGACAGCCCTGACAGGGTGAGCACATGTTGCATTAAGACATTTCTACCCTAAGGCACCATGCCTGGGAGCCCTGCAGACCTACACAGCCTAGTAGATAGGGAGCTCCACTATGGTAGGCATCTGATGTGAGCCCACAGCAAGGCAAATGTGAGTATACATGTGTGTGTCCATGTATATGCCTGTATATGGGGCTGCTCTCTGTGTGGAAGTATGTGTCCCTGTGCATTGCTACCTCTTCAACCTGCTGGAGGGCCTGGAGGTGGCTGTTTCTCTTTGAAGGTCATTTCTGGTTGTCACCCTACAGGTGCCCCTAAAGGTGAATTTGAGTGTCGGCCGCTCATGGGGACACCTGGCCCCACTGCAGGAGACCCTGGACTCAGCCTGAGCCACAGCAAATCTCCCTGCAACAGCCCATCTAGCATGAGCTCCCCTTCAGTACCCAGCCCCATCAAGTACATTTTTTCATCTTAAGTTTGTCCATCCCTGGGCAACAGTGGGAGGAGACAGCTGGTTTCCACCAGTCCGTCCTGCAGCCTTTCCCCAGCTCACACTCCATGAGGGCCAAACTGATGCAGACACCCTGACCCTGTATGGAACAACTGTCATTACCTGCAGTAAATGCCTAATGAGACGCTGTCTTCTCCTTGACTGAGGGGACTCTTCCTACAGGTGTACACATGTACAATATACACTCTGCTCAGCAAGAGGCTGACTGGGGAGTGTCTCAACCCACTTGGCCCTTGATGGGTGTCCACTCGGGCCCTGTTCTTCCCTGTGCCAAACATAAGCCAGCATGGAGCATGTCCATCCAGTACGGGAGCCAACAGCTGGCACTGGGAAGTGTACCACAAGGTTTAAGATAAAAGGCCCAGTTCCATGGCAGGCAGCCCACTGGCTGTGTTTCACTTAAGATGTCTCAGAGATGGGTTGTCATGTCACCCACGCCCAGAAAAATATCACCAACTCCCTCCTGCTGGATGAGAAGGGTAGCCCCTGACCATGCCATTCTGGCTTCTGGACAGGAAAGAAGGGAGGTGGGGAGGAAACTCCTAGAAAGCTATCCAGAGGCTGGGCTCAATGTCAGAGTTTTGGAAACCCTCTCCCAACCTCTAAGGGTCTCCCTACTGACAAGGCTGGCTGGTATCCTGCACTGGGATCTGACAGGAAATGTGTCTTCATTCACCATGATGTCTACCCCTCAACTTGGCCAACACTGATACCTTCTTAGATCTCAAATCATCCCTAAGATGTTTGTGAGTAGACAGGCAGACAAAGCAGCAGGAGCCACAGCCTGTGGTGAAGCCATCCAGCAGGAGACTGCCAGCACCATCAGGGTCCAGAAAAGCCCCTTGGGAGAAGAGTGAAGCTCTTCATGAATCCAACCCCCATAAGCCCAGGAGTCTTGGCCTTGTAAATACTCAGATCCCAGAAACAGGCCAGAACAGTGGGACTTGGTAGCCAAGAGACCACACTAAAGGTGTCCTAGCTGTGCTGACACCCGGGAACTGGGAACCAGCAGAGAGGTAGGGTAAAACCTTCAGGTCGCTGCTGGGCCTGAGTCGGTCCCCTGCCCCCTCACCTTTCACCCCTCAGCTGAGTTGTCCCTCAGACTAGTCTCTGTCTCTGTATCTACCACACTTAGGAAAGTGTGAAGAGCTGCAGAGCCCTTAACCATCCCTGACCAAGGAGGAATCCAGGCACCTCTTCCCTGGTCGGGGAGAGAGCGTCATGGAAGGTTGGGCTTGGGACCAGTTGAGGGAAGGGACTTTTCCCTGACAGGGACACCAAGGCCCTACCCCTGCCTCACTGATTCCACTCCAATCCAGGGTCCAGCTCAGTCAAACACAAGCAGAAACAGCCCAGACCGTGGGAAACCCAGAATATCCACCCCAGGAGGTGCCTCAAAAAAGCACAGAGCCGGTTTCCTTCAGTTCTGATTTTATTGAAAAACAGCAGCATTGGGGGCCGTGCAGGCAGGGGCACACACCCACTCGGGCCCCCAGCCTGTCTTCTTGGGAACTCGGCTCGTCACCTGGCCCTAGGGGCTATTTTGGCACATCCTGGGGTCTCAGGACACCCCCACCCCCATCATGGGCTCACAGTACAAATTCAGGAACAAAACCACAACAGTGAGATCTGCCACTGTGTCACACCCTCTGCACCCTGACCAAACCCAGCTGTGTTCTGTCCAAGGGGCCTCCAGCTTCTCTGCCCTACCCTCAGCTGAGGGGGAGATGGACAGAAGTGAGGGCCAGCAGAGGCTCAGCTGGCCTGGTGGGGTTGTGCTACATTCACATGGAGCTGGGCAGGGCAGGGGAGGGCACAGTGAGAGACAACCGCAAGACCCTGCTTCTTACCACAAAGTGCCTCCCAGATCAGAGACTGTTCCCACTGGTTCCCTCCCACTGCTACACATGTGCACATACCAACACACATGCACACATCCATACACATATGGAGAAGCCCACACATGCACACACAAATACTCATACATGCTCACACACATGCAACACATGAATGTGATTTCTTGGGCACATATAGTCACATGAGCACATGATTACAAATGGCATGTGCTTGTGCACACACACACCTACTCATACAGATGCTCACACATGCATACACATACTCTCAGATGCACATGCTCACACATGTGTGCACAGATGCACATACACAGGTGGGTATGCACATTTACGCAGCTACACCCCTTCTTTAAAATGGCTAATTATTGCTGTTTAAAAAAAAATACATCCAACAGTGGTAAGTCAAGGCTCATCTTCTACCCAGACCAGGCAAGCTCTGCCCACCTTCCATGGACCCCACCCCTGCTGGAAGCACAGTGATGGCAGCACCAAAGAGCAGCGCAGCCCAGGGTCTGCCCCATGCCCAGCAGTGTGGCCAAGAGCCAAGGACAGGACCATTGCTGAGGCCAGAATTGACAGAGAACAGGTAGCAACAAGTGCCGGCAGCAGTGCGACCTACCACAGACGGGGAGACACAACCACCTCAGGTCAACTTTCAGGCTGCCCCTTGGGCCCTGACAGAAGGGAGCCTCATGGGTGCTGCACAGCTCCTACCCAGCTAGGAAGCCATGCCCAGCCCCCAAGAAGCCCCAGGCACCAGCAAGACCCAGAAACTTTTGTCCCCAAGCCTCTAGCCCCAGGCACAGCCCTGAAAGCCAGCTCCAGGAAGCTGTGACTGTGGGGCCACCTGGAGCTGGCAGAGGCAAGTGGGAATGGGCAGGGTGCTTTCCAGCAGCAAGTGAGGATACTGTGGCTTACAGAGTTCCAGCTCCCCTCAGGTGTGTCCCTGACTCTATGCTCTGACCTATCCCCTTCTCTGACAAAGGGTACCAGTGCAGGATGGGAACTGTCCAAACCCCTGAGACCACCAGCCTGTTATCTACAGGGCCTCCCAGCCAGAGCCTTCTCCCACCTCAACCAGGTTAGCACATCCCTCAGCTGCTGCCCAGCCCTGTTAGGGCAATGCTAGGGTGGAGGGTGAGCACAGGGGTGGGAGAACAGGGGAGAGGTTGCCATGTCCATCAGGGCTTGGCCTCGCTACATTCAGGAGTGTGCCACCCCACCCTTAAGGGGCCAGAGCTTAGCACATGCAGGCCAGCCTCCTGGCCATACAGCTGAGACTAGGCATCTGCAGAGACACATGCCTGGGCAGTGGGAGCTGCCCGGGGACAGTCAAGCAGTGGTACACCAGGTCTATGCTGTAGGTACACTCCACCACCTCTTCCACCCTCCCTACTCTAAAACAGAGGCTTCCAAGCAAACAATAGCACTCCTGGAAGCCACAGATCCTGAGCACAGGGCCAGACCCCAGGCTGGCCTTCCCTGGGCCTTCCCAGGCCCGGAGTACAAGTGCTGGCCACCTCAGGTGCTTGGAGGGCCGAGGGAGGGGGAGATGGCCAGCAAACTCAAGGAGCTGCACCAAGCTCATAGCCACCAGGTGGAACAAGGAGGAGGGCCTCCACAGAGGTAGAAGAAACATCAGAATCTCAACAAACATAGAAAATTCACATCAGTGCACATGTGCAGAGCACTTAGAGCCCTGGTTGGGATGAAGTGGACAGGGCCAGGCCCAGTCATCAGCATGCTCAGCTCCCTCCAGCCCAGGGAGACAGATGCACCTCCAGGGCCTCAGGCCTTGCCAAGCTACATACTGCCTGGTGAAACTCCATCCTGGTGCAGCTGGAACCTACCACACCACCCATTCCTGGCATCTCTACCAAGTCTTGGCAGCAACCAAAGGCAGACAACGAATAATCAAGAGCCCAGCAAGCTTCTCTTTACCCGTGGGCTGTTCAGCAGGAAGAGATCCCCTTGGGCGGGCAGGTGCCAATAGGCCAGAAGGACCACACCTTCCCCCCAGGCTCCTAGGATTGGGGAATCTACTATGAGTTCATCCCAGGTCAGTATCAAGGAAACATGGGTGGCTATGGGATCCCCAAGCTCTGCCCTGGCCCAGGTGATCCCAGTGCCCTTCCAACCCCAAAGACTGCAGGCCCCAAAGGCACAGGATCAGAGAAGCCTTGGCAGCTGATGGTGTCCAGCAGACCTGGCTCCCACTTAGGCCCACCCAGGCCTCAGACCCACCAGCAGCCTCTGACCCCCAGCCTCAGACACCAGCAGTCCCTGTACCCCCACAACAACTAAGACTAGCCCCAAGCCGAGACCAATCCAAACAGAAAAGAGGAAAAAGGCACAACTGTTTGTTTTCCATTTTGCTAAAACACTTTACGTCTGTCTGTATAATCCAGATTAACAAAATCTGAGAGCTGCAAGAAAATAGGGTGCCAATTTCTGTACAGTCTACAAAACTCCCATCCCCGAGAGGGGACCGGGCACCACCAGGGAGGAATGTACAGGGGAGAGCGGGGTCTGTACAGTGTTCTGCAAATGCCTCAATTGCTAACAGGACAAAAGGCCCCTCGGGAAGCTGGGCTTGTTCCACCAATTCATTCACTCTAAAGAGCCTTTTTAAGAATGTAGCCTTGGTGCTAGGGGCCCAGCTCTATGGCCTACCCAGGCTGCCACTCCTTGTCCCCAAGCCCCACACAGAGGGTGTAGATGGGCCTTTGTGCCCCACCCCCACCCCGCACTGAAGCTAAGTCCAGGTTTCAGCCTGGCCACCTGAGCACTACCAGCCACCACCTTCCCTTCCCTGTCCCAGGCCACCAGCCCTCCCCCCATCTAGGCTGGACCCTAAGTGGGGACCTCATAAGGGAGAGGCCAGGAGCACAGTTGGCCCAGCAGAGTAGTCTATAGTGAGATGGCTGGACCCACCCCATCCACCAGCTCCTACCCCCAAGGCAGTGCCTAGACCCTCCTATGAGGCTTTAGGGCCCTCCAGTCCCCTCAGTCCTACACACAAGGATTCAAGGGGCAGCCTGAGGCCTCACAGACCAGGAATGCACTTTGGGAGCAGTTACACTAAATTAGAGTCTCCATCCATACTTAAGTCTTCACCTACCCGGCCACCCACCCCCATCAAATGGGGCCAGAGACCGTGTGTATGCTAGCACCACACAGATGTGTGTCTGTCTGGAGGCTCAAACTACCATTTTGTCCCAGGAATTAAAGTCATGCAGAGTGCTATTCTGTCTACGTAACTTATTAGAGAATGGGTTGTTTCAGGCTGGGAAAAGCTGTGGCAGGCATTGCCAACAACAGCCTGAGCTAGTTACATTCACAGGGCAGACCCCACAAACAGCATGAGGCCACAGGGCCTCGGGCAGCTGGGAGGGGGCCACCTGGTCTAACAGGTGTTGGGGGAGGTGTCCCCCCCACCCCCATGAAATCCCCACCATGCTGTGCAGTGGATTGCTACAGGAACCAAACCCGGGTGACCAGCCAAGTCAGCCAGAGCAAGGAGGCATGGGGACCAAAAAGGGAAAGAGGTAAGATGATTTCGAAGCAAAGCAGGAGTGGATAGAGCCAGGTTAGGCCAGGCCAGGCCCCACCAGAGAGCAGACAGGGTCAGGCAGGTAGGCCCTCCAGAGGCCAGCTCAGGACAGGACAGGGGAGCTCACCAGCTCGGGCCTGAGGTCCAGGCTGGGCAGGGCAGAGGGGCAGGGGGCTGTGGCATGCGGCATGCTGCAGCCAGGCCGTGTCCTCAGCATGCACAGGGCAAAGCAGGGCCTGGGGCCAGCTTGGCCTCCCACAGGGCAGTGGCTGGCCAGCCCAGCAGGCCACTCTTCCAGAGGCCAATGGCTGAGCCTTAGCCTGGCTGGGGGCCAGGGGTCTGCTCCTTGGGGGGCTTGATGTAGAGGTTCTGTGCTTGATGGGCAAGGCTAGTCTTTCCCTGATGGAGGCAGGCTGGGCAGCTTTGTGGATAGTCCAGGTGGTCCACAATGCTACTCTTCAAGGCATGACGAGCCACTCTGATGGGCTGGGGAGGCAAGGGCCGTGGCTGCAGACAATCCACCCCACCAGAGTGTTGCAGATGAGCAACACCCTGTGGCCCCCAGAACCAGCCAGGTGATGAACCAGCGTGATGCTGAGAAAGGAAAACCCAAACTAACGCCAAGGTGAGCATTGGAAAGCAGGGCCGCACTGGGCAGCGAGCAGGAGGGCAGAGGTGGACGGGGGCAGACAGGGTGGTGGGCAGGTGGTGGTGGTCACTCCTCGCGTAGCTGCAGGCGGTAGCGGTGGTAGCGGACCTGAAAGAAGAGGCGCTCGGCCAGCGAGAGGGTCATGCCAGGCAGCACATAGTGATCACTTGCGCCCATGTGTCTGAAGCCCAGTGACTCATAGAGCTTGTGGGCGGCCACCTTAACGGCTGTGGTGCCCAGTACCACTGCAGAGTAGTTGTGCAACATGGCGAACTCCAACACCCTCCGGCCCAGAGCCTTGGCGATGCCTTTGCCGCGGAAGCGTGAGTCCACGGACATGCGGAGAAGCTCCACCGTGTTGTCCTCTTCGTGGGCCCTTGCGGCCACGATGCCCACAACGTTGCCATCCAGCACAGCCACCCAGAAACAGGAACCTGTGAAAGGTATGACAGTCAGGGACATTTTGCATGGAAGGCTGGAGAGACTTCAGCTGCCCATTCCAGCTGGGCACCAAGTCAGGGTATCACAGTGATGTCCAATCCGCCAGTACCCTGGCCCTCCTTTCAGCTCTTTCGGACACCATGGGAGGCCATAATTCAGGATAAGCAGGGAAGCTGCCTCCTCTAGACCCCCTGAGCAGCAAAAACACTCCTGTAACAGCCTTAGTCCAGGCTAACCTGCCCAACTTTGCGTGACTAGATCCCACAATGCAGGCAGACACAATCATCTCTGACCTGAGTCTGTACTGTCCTGGCCAGAATAGTAGGAGGTGCCTAGGAGCTGGGCAGACCTTGATGAAGCAGATTCCTACCCCCAGACCACCTGAAAAACCAAGGGCAACCATAGCCAAGGCCTCAAGACCTACTCAGAATCCTGGCCCCCAGCCTGCCATCCTCCTCCTCTGGGATCCTTACAGGGACAGAACGGAGTGAGAACCCAAAAGAATGTTTTATAAATACCAGTGAGAGACCACAGACAGCCACAGCCGTCCCCAAGCCCCAGTGACCCAGCCTCTACTGGACACTGAGCCTGATGTCTAGGCCAGTCATTCCCACCTATAGTAAAGCCAATCCCAGCCTCACTCCTACAAGAAGGGGATAGGAGGGAATAAGGAGTTGGGATGGGAAGGATGCTGAAGGGCACAGGCTGCTGGGAACCCAGCCACCTTCAGAAGCCAAAGGTCCATGGTCACGGGGATACCCAGAGACCTTTCTGAAAAACAAAAGCTGAGGGATGACAGGGGAGAGAGAGCGTCTGGCTGGTCCAGAGTGCTTGTGCTGCGGGTGATCTGGCCTTCCCTCAAAGGGCCAAACTTCCACCAAAGGCTCTGCACCTGTACTTGCCCCCACCGGGCAGTAGGAAGCACCCCTACCTTCATGTCTCACCTCTTTGGGGGTCGGGGAGCCAGGCTCCTTCAGTGCAGACTCTGAGCTCTACAGCTGAAGGTGCTACCTGCCCACCCTCCATCAGCGTAGCCGAGAAAGGAACAGCTCAGGAGGGCCCTCATCCCAGTCTCCAGGACTTCCCCCACCCTATGGGGAGCCTACGGGCCAATCCCACTCTTACCAACTGCCCCACACCCACCCACACAAGCCTGAGCAGAGGTCAGGGCAGCCTCCAGCACTGAGTGTTCCCACTCTCCCAGGTCTGGTTTCCCTATTTGCATGAGAACTCTCATCAATCCACACAGCCGGCTTAGCTGCTGTCCAGCATTTGCTCTCGTGGGGTCCTGTAAACCCAGCAGAGGTCCGAAGTTAGCAAAGACTGCCACACTCCAACCCCTGGGGATTACAGCTCCGAGAGAGCACACAGCAGGAACCTCTGGCCACACCCATGCCATCTACCCAAGCCCACTTCAACCATTCCCCCGTCTCTTCCCAAGCAATGCCAGGTAGGCGGAGGGCCCTGCAGAGGCCTCCAATGTGAGGGGGGCCAAGGAGAACAGCAGGCATCGAGGCCAGCTGGATAGGAGGTTGGGGCTCAAGAGGGGCAGCTGAGGAGGAGCTGGCAAAAACTACAGCTGGCAGAGCCAGAGTGGCTGCCCTTCCCTGAACTAGACCCGACTCCTGCTGGCCAGTTCCCTATTCTCAGCCCCTCACATCCCAAATATCTCTCTCCTCTAGTTCCCGAGACCCATCCTGTTTCAGGGCTTGTTTCGAGGAGAGCAGTCTCCAGCTCCCAGCCCCTCTTTCTACAGAAAGCCCCGAGGTCTGAAGTAATACCTTATGGCTCACTAGGAGGGTCACTTGGTCAGGATGCCAAGCATAAGGCCGGGACCCCTGCCCACTCTGCTCCTTGGGACCTCTCCTTTGCCATACAGGCTTCCTCCACTCAAGGCACTCTGGGCTGGCTCAGGATCCAGCCGGGACTTAACTCCCCAACACACATACACAAGGCAGGTACCCAGGAAAGGTGTCCACCAGCGCGGGCACGGTGGAGCCAGGCCACCAAGGAAAGGACTGCGCTCTGGCCTCCCACGCCGACTCTCCACACTTAGCTAGAGGCCTCAGTCATTCCGAAGGCTCAGAACACAGGATCCCCAGCCCAGGCCCTTGGACCTGAAGGGGAAGAGGCGGGGAGCGGGCAGAGCTGGAATTCCAGAACTCACCAGGTGGCTTCATGTAGTACTGCTCAATGTCAGCCATGTCCGTGTGCAGCGCACACTCCAGGTAGGCCAGAATCACCTTTCGACTGTAGTAGTAGCGCAGAGCCAGGAGCCCGGCTGGCACCAGGCACGTCAGCAGCAGTGAGCGGGTCACAGCAAAACAGAGGGCTGCAGGCAAGGGGGCACAGGTGAGGTGGCAGGTGCAGAGGGGCACCGGGCCAGGCGGGACATGGGTGGGCCCCACAGCACCCGGAGTCCAAACCACCTTTGTAAATCAGTGCTTAGGGATGCGCCCCACCAGGGACTGTTTCTCTGTGTAGGAGCAGTCATGGCCGCAGTCCCTTTCTACGCTTCCTCATTTCCAAGCTCTCTGGCGTAAACACCTGCTACCTTCACAACCTGAAACAAAGGTCCACAATACAGCCTAGGCCAGGCCAGTGCTGGTCAGCCCTTGGTGCCCCAGTTTCCAAAAGGGTTCTTGCCTACTCCATCTAACCTGGTGCTAAGTCAAAGAGCTGGACAGAGACACCAGGGCACTGCCTAACGATGCAGGTCATCCCACGCTGGGGTGTGAAGGGACCCAGTCAGAGCCATCCCTGGGCAGCTTCCGGGCCCACTAGGCCCACAGGGTCAGGCGACAAGCACCACACTGCTTCCAGATTCATTTATGCTGTGGAGGAGGAAAAGGCACTAGAGCAAAAGTTGCCTCCCTTGAATGACCTTGGGAGAGTCGCCTCAAGCTCTTCATCTGCAGAATGGGATGACATGAATGGGGGGAGGGGTGTACTTCAAGACCGCACAGGATATCCTCCCTGTGGCCCTGGCTCTGGCGAACAGCCTCCCTGGCTCCCCGCGGAGCTGGCTGTCTTCCCGTCATAAATTAGCACTTGAGCCTCAGGCGGCCTCCCCCGCCCGCAGATTATATATAGTTGTCGCGCCGGGCCGCAGCTGCAGCGCTACCTGCCCTGTCACGCCGCCCCCACCCGGGATGCCCCGCGACGGGGGAGAACGGGCACCGCGGACTGAGTTGCTGACCCAGTGCTTCCCGGTCCGCAGCGCCTGCACTTAGCCGGGGCCGGTTCCCACGCCCGGTCCAGGCGCCTCGGCCGTAAGCCCGCAGCGCTGCGCCGCGGGTTCGAGCGGGTCTCCTCCCCGCCGGTCCCGCGCACCGACACGGCACCCGGGCTCCCAGAAGGGGACCCAGGAAGAAGGCGGAGTCAAGTGCGACGGTCCCCTGAGGGGGTCCGCTGGACCCGCTGGAGCCGGGCCCGGCCCGGGACTGCGGCAGACCCGCCGGCCCCCCGCCCCCCGCGGCGCACTGACCCGCCAGCAGGGCGTAGAGCAGCTGAGTGCGCGGGTGCTGCCGCAGGCCGCGGAAAGCCGTGTTGGGGATGCGCTCCAAGATGCCGTCGTAGAAGATGCGGCGCGCCGCCTCCTGTTCGGCTGCGCGGAACTCGCGGATGCACACGCCGCGCCCCTCCGGCGGCCCCGCGCCCCCCGTGCCTCCGTGGGGCTGGGGACCCGGCGCGGGTGGGGGCGCGGCGGCCGGCCCGGGCGCGGCGGGCAGCGGGGGCCACATGGCTCCGCCGGCGGCGAGCAGCGCGTCCTTCTTGGCCCCCGGCAGTGCCTCATGGTCCTCCGCAGCCACGATCTTCGTCTCGCAGACCATGTCGGGAGGCCCACAATGCATGCACCCGGCCGGGCGGCGCAGCGCGGGGACGCGGGCCGGCGGAGGCGGGCAGAGCCCGGGCCCAGGGCAAGGGCGCGGCGCCCTCGGACCCGCGGCGGCGGCGGCGGCGGCGACAGCAGCTCAGGGGCGCAGGGCGGAGGCGGCGGGCGGCCGGGGCGCGCGCAGGGAGCTGCGCCGCATTTTGGAGAAGTATTTATAATGCAGCGGCGCCGGTGCAGTCGAGGCGCCCGGGGTCCCGCAGGGTCCTAGCGTCCACTGCATTGGCTGCCGAGGGTCACCATGTGATCTCGGGGGTGGGAGCTGACGCCGCCTCCGCGCCCGCCCGATGGCACACTTGGGCTGCGCGGCGGGCGGACCGCGGGAGCACGGCGGGGCCGGGCGACGAGAGTGCGAGGAAGCGGCCAGGCCAGTGGTCCTCAGCGAGCGCGCTGGCGAGCGGCAACAGGGACAGGGCGCTTGGAGAGGCACTGCGTGGGGGGCTTGAGGCTCGTCTGGAGGACAGCGAGTGATGGACGCATCCCACCCCGCCCCGAGCACCCGCAAAGCTGCCGCTGCGCTCGGGCCTCCGTGCCTGCAGCAACGCGTCCTCCTCCTCCGCGGCCGCTGGCAGCAGTTACGGAAGTGTCTCCATCTCCCACCCCTTTGTCTGAACGCGGTGCCCGGCCGAAGTCCTCGGGAGGGGCACCATGCTCCCCTGGCTGGCGCCCTGCGAGCCTGTGGCCGGGGCCGAACTGACTGAGACAGTGAGGATACGACTGAAGTGGGGTATGATGCCCGCGCCTCCTGACGCAGGGCCGCACCCCACCCCACTCCAATCTGACACCCGACCACTCCCGGCAGCAGGCATGCGGGATTTCAGGACCCCTCCCGCTCGGCCCCCGCCTTCCGCGGCCCGCGCATGCGCCCCGTGGCCTTGGTGCAGGTGCAGCGGGGGCTCGCATCTGAACCGCGTCTCACGGTCCCCAGGAGCAAGACGTGCAGACGCAGCAGACTGGGCACGCATGGGGTGGGGGCCAGTATCCAGGCTGGGCAACGCGTAGTGGTATATTCTCTTTCCTGGGTCACAGGGATGGGCACCCCCCAAAGCCGAGTTCGCCCACATGCTCCTGGAGACCCTGATGTCTCCGGGCCTGAGAACCCTCAGTCTGCGTCGTGCCGCACCTGAGTTCGAGCCAGCAGAGTGGCTAAGGTCACCTAGAGGCTGGAGGGACCTGGTCCGCAAATGGAACCTGGGAGTAGGGTGTGGAGAATCCACCACCCAGGGTCCTCAGCGCATGGATGCTGGGAAGGAGAGGGCCGGGCTAAGGAGGATTTCCCTCAGTGGATTTTCAAAACACAGAGGCATATCTGGGTCCAGGCTGTGACCTTCCAGAACACTGAAGCTAAATCTCTCGAACTTTCAAAGGAACTCACTGATAGTACCTGAACAGGCTGAGACCCCTGACCAGCCACATTGTCCTCTTCTGGGTCCTGAGGCTGGCCGGGTGGTGTGCAGGAACTGTGCCTGCCTGTGAGGGCGTTCAGGCAGGAGCCTGGGAGAAGGAGAGGCTGGGCGCTGAGGAGACATCAGGTGAAGCCAAGCAGGTCTGACTCAGGACCCTAAGCTTGAGGGTCACTGGGGACCCTGAAGTTTTAGAGGTAACAAGGTAGTCTGTAGCGCTTCACCCCACACCCTGAGCCGAGCTTCTCCTTCGTTGTCCTGCATCGCCAGAGCCCAGGGGCCAAGGCTCACCATCAGCGCGACCTTGATGGGCCCTCCCTGTTCTGCAGAGGTCCCTTCCCCCTTATCGGCCTGACTACGCCCTTCAGTGCCCCAATCCTCCTGTAACCACGTGCCCCCCGGTGGCCCTGGTGGAGGCCTGTGCTGTGGCCAGCTAGAACACATCAGAACCGTCTGGACGTGTAGTGGGGCCAGGGCTGGAGTCTAGGCACAGCCACTTAGAAGGGCTTGGAGACCCAAAGACTTTGGGTTGCGCAGACAACAGGGCGGTCAGTGGCCCTGGTTAGCCTGCTTCCTCCTCCCTGTCGTGGGGCGCCCTCTGCTGGTATCCCTTGGGTCGTTCCCGGGTGGCATCAAGGTCCTTTCTGATAAAGACCTCTCCTGAACTCCCCACACAGGCCTACACACTCCTCTGCCTGGATCTTCAGGACTCTGGAGACGCAAATTGGCTTCCTCGCGCCCTGCAGCTGAATGCTCCTTCCAGGAGCCGAGAAGCACCTGCCTACAGCTCTGCAGGGGTTAAGACCCCTGCCCAAATTTCAGAGACAGAAGTGGGGGTGGGCGCCCTGAACCACTGCACCTCAACATTTGCGGGTAGGGATAGTTCCTTGATAGGGCAGCCCTCCACCCAGGGTGTGTCCTCTAATGATGTTGGGAACAGAAAACTTATCCTTGCCTGGCATGGCTACCTCAGGGTCTGGGGGTGGGAGGGGGAGAAAGGATGAGCCTAGCGCTAAAAATGCAGAGAAAAGGAGAAGGCGCTGGAAAGATACACAGCCAAGATAAAAAATGGCCCGGGGTTGGCCCCTGAAGGGTATAAGACGCTGAGGACCGGGGTGGGTGGGTGTGGCGGGGCGGTGAGGAGACAGGAGCCTTAAGAGAATAGAAGAGCCCCAAAACAGAAGAAAACCAAGTCCAGCATGCCACTAACAGATGTCACCAAAATGGAAATTCTGCAGTAATATCTCCAGGTTAGAAGTCCTGGAGTCCCAGACTCAACCTGCCTAACACTCTGAGTGCAGAAAGGCCTCCAGACAACCACAGGGTCTGCCCTCTTAGAAAGGCCACCCCAGAGCGTCACCTCTGGAGAGCCACCTGCGGCAGGCACATGGCATTACCGCAGCTGCCAAGTGGACACACTCAGAAGCCATGCCTACCCCACCACTCCTCTAAACACACACTGAGAGTCCCCACCCTGTGTTGGGCCTGGCCAATTCAATCACACTCAGTCATGGACTAGGGTGAGGAAACACACTAACAAAAAGAAAAACAAATCAGGGCATGGTAGCACATGCCTTTATCTCAGCATACAGGAGGCAGAGGCAGGCAGATCTCTGTGAGTTCGAGGCCAGCCTGGTCTACAGATCCAGGAAAGGCGCAAAGCTACACAGAGAAACCCTGTCCTGAAAAAAACAAAAACAAAAACAAAACAAAACAAAAAAATTTTTTTTAAAAAGGAAGGAAGGAAGGATGCTAAGGGCCGAATTGTGAAGCAGGTCAGAGTGAGGGGAACAAACAGTGCGAAGTCTTTGAGGTGGGGGGCTACAAATGGAATGTGTCAACAAAGATTATTTTCAGACAGACTGACTCAGTTTCCTTCCTACACAGGCCACAAAGGGTAAAGGACATGAAACCTAGAAGAGCGTGGCTCTGCCCGAAGAGTGAAAGGTAGACAGTGCTGTAACTGGGGGCTTGGGGCCCAGAACCCCAGCTAGGGGTAGAAGAGACTGAAGGAGGAACAGTTACACATGCGCACAGTAAAGCGGGTCAGGTGGTGCTCATCTGTCACTTCCCCTGGAACCTGGAACCTCGGTGTGTTTATTAGGTACGGCACAGGAGGGTGTCAGTCTCTGTAAGAGGTGTCTGCAGGTCATAAGTCCCAGGAGCTGGAAGGAAGAAGCTGCGGCTGCTGGGTTTTGCACACATCCATGAACCACTATAAACACTCACACACCAACTCCATACATCCAATCAGCACTTCATTCACTCAGGACTCCCTCTGCTCCCTAGAGGGCAGTCAGCGTGGGAATGGACAACTGTCTGGGAACAGAACAGAAACAGGAATCCAGGCAGATAGGAGGGTGTCCTGTGCCCAAGGCGTGGACTCGGTGCTGGGCAAAAAGAGTCAGTTAGTCCAACTCTAAATCCAGGAAAACGAAAGGTGCCTGGCCACATGCTGAGCTACGTTTAGCCATTCTGAATGTCATTTTGAGCTGATGACAAATAGGAGAGCTGCACCAGGGCTCCGAGACGATGCAAAGTTCATTGACCTTACGAAAGTCTAAACTTCCCAGGTGTCTGTGCTGTGGACCACTCCACCTCTGCTCCTTCCCAGAAACCCGTCAAGTTTACCCACTTTGACTATCTTTGATCAAGATCACCAGTGGCCAAAGAGGCCAAACCTGTTGGTACAGTCTTGGTGTTTGCTTAACCTCAGCAGCGTGGAACTCACCCCCTTTCTTCTCCCTAGAGCCCTCACACCACCCAGAACATGCTTCAGCTCCCTTCCTGCTTCATGGCTGCTCCTTCCGCTCTGAGTTCCCTCGTCTTATCTATGTCTGCTCAGCCCCTCCTGTCCACACTCAGGCACAGAGAACTCAACAGTGTAACTATTCCATCCTTCTTCCTCAGGTGCTTGTCCAGCTGCAATGACCTGCCCCATCCCCAAAGCTTCCTGGAGGTTTTTCATTCTCTCAGTTTTGTTTGTTTTGGGTTTTTTTTTGTTGTTTTGGTTGTTTTTTTTTTTGTTTTTTGTTTGAGACAGGGTCTCTCTACATAGCCCTACCTGTTCTAGAATTCATTCTGTAGACTAAGCTGGCCTTGAACTCAGAGATCCGCCTGTCTCTCCCTCCTGAGTGCCAGGACCAAAGGTGTGTGTCACTCCACTCCACTTCTGTTTTCAAATACATCTGGAATCCAACCATTTCTCCTGCTGCTACTGTTCAGCTGTTCCCCATCCATGGTGGGTACAGCCATCTCCCCAAGGGCCCATACTATCTTCCAGAGTCATCTAGTGTCTCTAGCAACCACAAGCACCTGTTCACACAGACCTAGATTCTGCTGGCTCAAAACCTCATAAAGTCAGAAAGAGACCTCAGTGGGTAAAAGACCCTGCCAAGCAAGCCTGACCATCCAAGTTCAATGGCTGGAACCCACAGTGGAAAGAGACAACTATCTCCCTAACTGTCCTCTGTGTACACGCATGTGTGTGCATATACACACGATTTTAAAGAGACCACAAAGCTCCAAAGAGGCTCACCTGCCAAGCTGCCTCTTCTCTTCCTTCTCCAGCTTCCTGCAGCCCCTGACTCCTGCAGGATGGGTTGGAACATGACTACCAACCTCCAGACTCCTCCATCCTACCTTCCTGGCTGATACCCCTACTTCGTTCCATAAGCACGTCCCCAGAGGACCCTACACCATGTTTTCTTGGCTATTGGTATCAAGGGCTAATAGCATTCATAAAATACAGGACAGTTAATTTTGAATTTAGAGTAAACAATACTTTTAGTATAAGTACATCCTACACACATTGTATAAAGGGTACTAAAAAGTGTTTCTGTATTTAACTTGCTAAATCTGGCAATCTACCCCTAGAACAAGGTTACACTTCTGGTCTCTCCTGCAACTAGGGATGACCAGAGCGAGACCAACCAATGGCACAGGAGTGTATGTCTACCTCCTTTGCTCAGGGAGAACCCAGAAACCTGGCTGGTGCAGCACACCCGACTGTGGTCTCAACACTCTTCCAACAGCCTCCATGGTGGGGTGGGGCTTAGCTCTTTGTGGGGGCGTGGTGCTAATCAAGGAACCGATGCCCCAGATAGGACATTGTTGTGCCTAGGGTGAGGCTGTCACTCAACCTCAGCCCTGCTGTGCTCCTGGTGGTGTTTGCAACAGTGTGAGTGCATGCCCTGCCTTGCTAAGAGAAAAAAAAAAGCTTCACTTGCACAAAGTTTCCAATAAAAGTAGAGACCTACCCTCACTTTGCTGAGGTTTGCCGCTAGGGCACACGTGCAGGTGTAAGAGGGGCCACTAACTCCATCCAGAAGTCCTTGGTACCCGGGAGCCAAGCTTGGGTCTGCAGATGAAACCATCCCAGCTCCCCCTCCTGGAAAGGACATTTACCCATTGCCTGTTGCCCACTGCTGCTCCCTTCTCCGGAAGCCCCAGGTTAGGGTCCTAGAGCTCAGCTTCCACAGAGCCATGCCCACCCCTGTGGAGAGAGGCCTTGGAGAACTCAGAAGGGGGAGGGCCATTATCAAGGTCCCCTGGCCTCCAAACAAGGGCCGCCTGGCTGGGACAGGTCTGAGAAGACTAAAAACTGCAGTGTCAGTGTCTGGAGGGCCAAGGGCTTGGATGGGCAGGCAAGTATACCTCAGCATGGGCACAGCAGCTACGGGACAGTGCCAAACAGTACCCGACCCCCTGTGACAGGGAAACCAAGACCCAGAGAGGGTTATGACAGGGCAACATGGGTGGCTCTGATGGCCAGAGCAGGGACACGGGACACAGGCATGCTAGCAGGCATTTATTGACAGGGAACATCACTGGCCAAGGATCTTCAGCGTCCAGCTGGCCAGCAGGCACACAGAGCCCGGCGCTCAGCCTGCAGCAGAAGGGTCTCCGTCTGCAAAGGAACCAGAGCATGAGGATGGGACAGAGTTCTTAATAGACACCTTCCCAGGCTTTCCTGGCTTCTTCACTTTCACCCCAGGTACCCTGCTGGGACTTCCGGGGGGGTGGGGGGGGACTCCTCACCTTGCCCTTTAGGTGCCCTATCACTCCCATTCCCTGCAGAGCAGCTTCCATTGCTGAGGTCCCTCCTTACACCCATCCCCATGCAAGAGTCCCCATGTAGGGGTGTAAGGTCCCTCCTTCCACCCATCCCCGCTCCAGACATCTTTCAACTCACACCCATCACTCAAAGCTCCTCCATCATGCACTCCCACTCCACAATCCACAAGAGGAGTAGAGGCTTCACTGGGGAGTGGGGAGGGACACCAGTGCTGGAAGTGTCCTCCTGACTATCCCCAAAGGGCTGGGTCTAGTCCCACCCAGCTTTCCGGTCCGCACACACCATAACCTCTATGCCCAGCCTCAGTTTCTCCTTTCTACTCTGGGCTCATCTCTCACGGGAGATCCTAGTTTAGTACTACATATCCCTGGAGTACACTAGCTACCACAGTCACAGGACAAAGTGCCCTGAGGCCCTGGCGGAGGTTAGACAGATCGCTGGGCATGAGGGCGTTTTTTAGGTGAGATCTGGTCCCAGATCCTTAGAGTGTCTAGGTCTTGGGATGCTTACAAACCAAACCCAGACCTCCCTGACCTTGTGTACTCACCCGCGCGTCCAGGCTGTAGGCCGTTTTCCGTAGGTCCTGAAGGGCGCGCTGCATGAATTCAAACGCGTGGCAGTCCACACACGGACGGCCTGCGGGGACCGGGATCAGCATCACGTGAGGGTGGACACAGCAAGCCCCAGCCAGACCCCAGCCGAGCACCCAGCGGCGTCCCAGTCCCTGTCGCCAGCCCTCCAGTTCCCACCCAAGAAGTGACCGCACAGGAAACAAAAGACGCCTCCCGCACGCCCCCTCCTCGGGCACCTACTCTGCGCGGGGACAGCGCTCCCGGCGGCGGGCTCGGCGCGGGCGCCCAGCAGCGCCAAGCTCAGCAGCAACAGCAGCAGCAGCAGCGAAGTCGGCGGCGACAGCAAGGACCTGGACGCGGGGGCCATGGCCGAGGGAGCCCGGGGCCGCCCTGCAGTGAGCAGAGCGGTCAGTGACGCCGCGCACCAGGCTGAACCCGGTCCCACTGGCGACGCCGCCGGCCCCGCCCACCCCCGGCTCGCGACCCACAGACCAACCCCACTCACGCGTCCCGCGAACTCGGGTCTGCTTAGCTCGGTCCCAGCCTTCCGCGGGCCTCGCGGACCCCACCCGACCCTTACCGCGGTTCACGGAACCGCGGCCAGCAGCGCGGGCGACACGGGAAGACGCACCGCGACCCGCACGCGCGCGCGCGCGCGCATGCGCCCAGGCCGACCCCACCCGGTTCCCCGACGTCGTCGTCATGGAAACACCGCGGCCGCGCGCCTGGCGCTGGCTGCTCCCACTCTGCGCTGGGCTAAATTTTTAGCGCACCCGCGCAGGAGAGCAGCGGAGGACACAGAAGCCGGGCTGGGGGCACCTGCCGCGACCTCCCCATTCTGGCCGGGCACTCAGTGCTCGGCCAGCACCTGCGGCCTGGGTGCTGTTTCTCCACGGTGATCAGTTGCTGGTCGCCGCCGAATTTGATTGCCCGCTCTCCGGGACCCACGCGTGTGGGAGACCAGCGTGGGATACTGTCCAGGGCCGGCCGGGAACAGCGCGCCCAGGCTGAGGGAGTGTCCTGGCTGAAGCTCGGAACCTCGCGATAGGTGCAGGCGAGCCCGCAGTCAGGAGAGGGCCTGGGGCTCCACACCACATCGGTTTGTCACTGCAGTGCCCTGCCCCATCAAGGTGTCATGGAGAGGAGCTCGCCTTCCCTCGGAAAGCAAGGCTCTGGTTAGACTTGCATCTTGCGGGACTGGCCCAAGTGTGCACTGTGGTGGGGTGAAGAACCCTTCCACTCTGTTTCATTCCAGGATCTAAGCTGACCATGACCATGAGCCACGCTGGAGGGTCCAGGTGAGCCATTTGCTCCTTCCCACCCAAACACACTACACACACTCTCTTCAGAAAATCCGCTGAGATTTCTATTCAAACCACTCAAAAATGGCCCCAAAGGTCACCGGTGACAGGAAGGAACCGTGCTCTTAAAGGAAAGACTAGTTTATTCTAAGCCAGGTGAGTGACCAAGGCTGGGAATGCAGATGCCAGAGAAAGTGGTGCTGCATCTGGCGGGCGGGATCTGCTCTATAATAATTTCAAATGTTATCTGGCGGCTCTAGTTTTATAGTTGGGGGACATTGGTGATACATTCTGAGATATTTGTTACCGGGTTGCCAAGTCAGACAGACAAGTTTGGGTAACTTAGTCAGCACGAGATCACTTTGGCTCTGGGTCTCCACAGTCAACCACCGGGCTGCATGAGTGTTGCAGCCGTCTAGAGCAGTTAAATGAGGCAATATCTTCAGGGATCTTCAGCTCACACAAACCTATCTGCTCCTCTCTTTTCTCTCTCCCTCCGACTCCTCTCTGTCCTCACCCTGCCCACTGCACCCCTACTTCATCTGCCCCCTTGGGGCCAGCAACCAACGATCCTTTCTTTACCCCTAGAGTTTTGATGCTAGCTGGGTCCCTGTCCATCTGGCCCAACTTTGTCTGGAGGCTGGGGTGAGCAGAGCAGCCACGCCCCCATCCCTTGCACACCTGGACTTGAAGAACAGTGACTCCCCCCTGCACGGTGCTAAGCAGCCCTGTCAGCAGCCTCCCCCAGGAGGAAGTTCCTCGGGGCTGGCTGTGTGGCTGAGCTCCTCTAAGGACAGCCACTCAGGACAAGTCAATATAAAGCGAGTTAGGACACAATTAGATTTAGCTTAGATTTGAGACATCAGTGCTTTTGAGTTCTTGATATTTATGTGCCAGTTGGGAGCTTTGGAGGTTACATTGTTAATCTACAGGTTAGGTTAAAAATTAAGTTTTTAAAAAGCATTTTGCCAGCTGGGCATATAGCTCAATGGTAGAGCACTTGTCTACCATGTGTGAGCCCTAGGTTCAATCCCCCATACCAGAAGGGAGGGAGAGAAGGAAGGGGGAAAGAACATACGTTTTGGTTTTAGTTTGTCAGGGACTGTAACCCTTTACTTTGAACATACAGTTTGGGTGCTCATGCACACACACACACACACACACACACACACACACACACACACACACACACATACCACCCTTGCCCTAGCTCTGTCTCAGGATCTTGTCCCACAACCTCTCTGGATCAGCTTTCCAGGAAAGGATCTGGTATGTGTGTGGGGACTACCTAGCTTCAAGATTTGGCAGGAATTGGGGGCTGGAGAGATGGCTCAGTGGTTAGGAGCACTTGTTGCTCTTCCAAAGGACCCAAGTTCAGTTCCCAGCACCCACATGGCGGCTCATAACCATCAGTGAGTCTAGTTCTAGGGGATCTGATGTCTTCTGGCCCCTGTGGGCACCAACCATGCACATGGTTTACATACATACATGCAAGCCAGGCAGTGGTGGCACACGCCTTTAATCCCAGCACTCGGGAGGCAGAGCCAGGTGGATCTCTGTGAGTTCAAGGCCAGCCTGGTCTACAGAGCAAGATCCAGGACAGGCTCCAAAACTATACAGAGAAACCCTGTCCTGAAAAAAACAAAAACAAAAACAAAACAAAACAAAAAAAGAGAATATAAACATACATGCAGGCAAAACACCCAAATATATAAAATAAATCTAAACACAATTTTAAAACTTTAAAAAAAGATTTGCCAGGGGGTTGGTGATGCATAGCTTTAATTCCAGCACTTAGGAGGCAGAGACAGGCAGATTTCTATGAATGCCAGAGTGGCCTTTTTGGCATAGAAAGATCCATGTCAGGGCTTCATAGTGAACACCTGTCTCAAAAAAAAAAAAAATTGTCAGGTTGAGGCTAAGAGGGGTAAGGTAGGGGATGGCTTGTGCATTGGCGGCTGGCACCCCATAGGGCAGGGGAGAGAGCTGAGGTGGAGACTTCTGGCCTAAAAACCTCTGTGGCAAATCCCAGATGTCTGGTGTCTCCATTGTCACCCCCTGCACTGAATGGAACTGGGGACATAATGATAAGTGCAGTCTCTTTCTGCCCACACCGACAGGCCCAGAGGCATGTCCTAGTGATGCTGGGGCCGAAGAAGGGGAAACACACCTCTGTGGTTTTGTGGCAAGTACCAAATCATGACCACGGAGTGGTCAAGAAAAAGTGAAAAAGTGGGCATATTAGTGAGGGCCCCAGACCAGTAACACTTCAGCCATCAGCCAAAGCATGTCCTCATGACCTTGCAGGTGACGGGGTCATCTGAGGTCTTGGGTCTAAGAGATCAGTGTCCTGGGCAATGAGCAATGTGCAGAGGAACTAGACATACCAGGAACAGGGCCCCACGGGGAGGCAAGAGGGCCGGCTTTTCGGGGACTATGCCAGGTGGTTTGTAAAGGAGAGAAAGTTGAAAATATCAAGAAGTGGTGAACATAAAATCAGACAGCATGACGAAGTGCAGTGCTGTACACTCCCAGCACTCAATCAAGGCCAGCCTAAGATAACAGGAGACCCTGTCTTAAACAAGCAAAGTAAACATGACCAAGTTTGAAACGTAACCAAATAGGAATTCTAGGGCATAAGAACACAGTCCTGCCAGACAGTGGTGGCACATGCACACCTTTAATCCCAGCACTCAGAAGGCAGAGGCAGGGGGCGGATCTCTGTGAGTTTGAGGCCAGGCTGATCTACAGGGCAAGTTCCAGTGTTGTGGAATATTCCTTTACACTGTGTGAAGATGTATCACTGTGATTGGTTTAATGAAGAGCGGAATGGCCATTAGCTAGGCAGCAAGAGGTTAGGGGAGACTTCTGGGGACAGAGAGCTCTGGGAAGAAGAAAGGGGGAGTCTCGAGCTGAATGCAGGGAGAGCAAGACATGCAGGGGGAGAGGTAAAAGCCACGAGTCGCGTGGCATCACGTAAATGAATAGAAATGGGTTCATTTAAGTTATAAGACCTAGTGGGACAAGCCTAAGCTATAGACCGAGCTTTCATAATAAGTCTTCGTATCATTTTTTGTGAGCTGGCGACCCAAAGAAAAGCTCGACTACAGGGTGGAGGGATGGCTCAGTGGTTAGGAGTATCTTCCAGAGGTCCTGAGTTCAATTCCCAGCAACCACATGGTGGCTCCCAACCATCTGTAATGAGATCTGGCGCCCTCTTCTGGCATGCAGGCAGAACACTGTATACATAATAAATAAATCTTTAAAAAAAAAAAAAAGAAAGAAAGAAAAAACGAAATGAAACGAAAAGCCCGACTACATTCCAGGACAGCCAGGGCTGTACAGAGAAACCTTGTCTTGGAAAAAAAGAAAAAAAAAATCCAGCAGATGTGCTGGGGACAGCAGTGGAGGGACAGACAGAGACAGTGACTAATTAATATTCTGGACAAGTAGAAGAAATAGGTGGCAGTCCACAATCCCACTCCAGTGTCCCTTCAGAGAAGACTGTGGGTCTCCTGCGATGTGTTATATCTTAAACCCAGGACAAATGGCTGAGTTGCCTACTTAACATATCAAACCGGACCTGGCCTCCAGGTTCTCCCAGCATCCCTCAGTCTCTACTGGTTTCAGGGTATGTCTGACATACCCTGGCCCCTACCCTGAACTCTCCAGCCCACTAGGCTTCCCTCCCCTCAGCTCCTCTGGTTCCTTTAAAATGGAGCCATTTTGGCTATACCAGTTCCTTGGCCCAAGCCACAACTCTTAGTCCGTGGCTCCTACCTTGCTCTCCCTCTCTCCCAACATGGTCCAGCTCAGTCTGGCCATGTCCACTCAGACTCTCCCAGATGTCTCTTCCTTTGGCTATGCTCTCCCTTTTATCTACAATAAACCTTCTCCACCATACCTAAGAGCAGTCATGTCCTTCTTTTTAGTTTTTCAAGATAGGGTTTCTCTGTGTAACAGCCCTGGCTGTCCTGGAACTCACTCTGTAGACCAGACTGGCCTGGAACTCACAGAGATCCACCTGCCTCTGCCTCCCGAGTGCTGGGGATTAAAGGCATGTGCCACCACACCCAGCTGACGTCCACATGGTGGAGCTGTCACTGCCTCTGAGCTCTGGATGCCTGGCATCACCCTATGGTATGAGGCTGAGCCTAGTAAACACTGCTCCTTCACCAGCTCGGTCATTACTGGGCTTTGCCAGCAGCTGGCCGTGGAGGAAGGTGGTAAGGCTACTGTGGCCAACACAAGAAAAGAGCCTGGTGTGCCTCCTCACCAGAGCTGTGGCTAGCACAGTAGAGAGCCTGGGATTCTGGTGTTCCAGTCAATGGGGACTGCTATCCAGCTGCAGCCAGAACCAAGTTGGAGGTGAGGCTGCTGAGATCCAGTCTGTTGTAGTTGTTTTTTTTTTTTTTTTACTCTTTGGCTCTTTACTCTTTTGGGGCCCGCCACCCAGCTCCCAGATAAATACACAGAGGCTTATTTTTACTTATGAATGCCTGGTCTTAGCTTGGCTTGTTTCTAGCCAGCTTTTCTTAAATTATCCAGTCTATCTTTTCCTCTGGAATTGTATCTTTCTCTATTTCTGTATACCTTTCTTTACTTCTTTCTCTGTGGCTTGTTGTGTAGCTGGCTGGCTGGCCCCTGAAGTCTTCCTCTCCTCCTCTTTCTTGCTCCTCAACCTCCTTCTCCCAGATTTCTCCTATGTATTCTCTCTGCCTGCCAGCCCCACCCATCCTTTCTCCTGCCTGGCTATTGGCCCTTCAGCTCTTTATTAGACCAATCAGGTGTTTTAGACAGGCACAGTAACACAGCTTCACAGAGTTAAATCAATGCAGCATAAAAGAATGCAACACATCTTTGCATCATTAAAACAAATTTTCCACGGCATAAATAAATGTCACATCGTAAAATAATATTCCACAACACTCTGTCAAGTTTTTCCACAGAAGCAAGATGGAGAATTTCACAGTAGCCAAGCCCTCTCAGTGAGTCCCAAGCTCACCCGCACAGCCCATGAGGCATGAGACAGATATCCTGTCTGCCCTCTGCGGTTTGGCATGTTTGGAGAGGGGGCAGTGGGAGTATCAGTTCTTATCTAGAGTCTTAGAGATCAGAAGGGCCCGAGGATCTGCTGAACGTACTTCCCCCAAAAGGACACCTAAAGGCATTTCCTTCTGGCTATCAGATTGTCCTGCAGTTTTCTGCAGAGACTTGTGAAAGCCAAGGGAAGGAATAACTGAATCACAGGTTGCCCTTGACCTTAGTTTTGCCTTGGATGAGAACTATATAGGCCCCTGAAGCTGTTGAGGTTTAGTACCTGAGATAAAGAGTGTCAATCCAGGGTTTAGCAGAGACACGGAAATGCAGACTGCCTTACAGGTCTCTGGAATAGCACAGCTGGATGCCACCTGGAGGTTAGTGGAGGAGAGAAGGGAGGGAGAGAGAAACTATGTGACTGGGAGGTGGTCACTGTGGCATGTCTGTGTAGTTCCTATGAGGCATGAAACGAAGTTGCATAGATACCTGGATCAACTACATTGAGGAACTAAAGGTTAAGTTGTCAGGGTAAAGTGAAGGCCTAGACTTAACTTTATAGACTCAGGAATATGCCATGGTAACTCAAACAGATACAGAGCAGTATCCTCCTGCAGACATCCTGTCTGCTGTTTAAAGGAAAGCTTAACAGGATCCAGATACTCCTGCAGACATCCTGTCTGCTGTTTATACAGGAAAGGAAAGCTTAACAGGATCAAGTCTGTGGTTTATGGCCCTTGGAGATATCTAGATAATCCTGCAGAGCAGTCCAGATAATCCTGTTCAGCGGGTTGTGGTTTCCTGCCAAAAGTCTAGACCAAAAGCTTCAAAATATCACCTTGCCCCTTCTACCCAATCCCAAGTTGCCAATTCCTAGCTTGTAGTTTTTCCCTATTAAAAACCCTCTACACCTAGGCTCATGGCTATCACAACATTTCCTTCCATCTGCCATGCGGCGGCCCAGGTTGAACCTGAATAAAAGGACCCTTATGTGCTTGCATTGGAAACCGGCTCCTTGGTGGTCTCTGGGGGTTTCTCGAAACAGGTACAACAGTAACTGAGCCCTGTTGAACAAACATTAAACTTAACATTTAAAATGGATTTAAAAAATCTAGGAAGGAGCCGGGCGGTGGTGGCGCACGCCTTTAATCCCAGCACTCGGGAGGCAAAGCCAGGCGGATCTCTGTGAGTTCGAGGCCAGCCTGGTCTCCAAAGCGAGTTCCAGGAAAGGCGCAAAGCTACACAGAGAAACCCTGTCTCGAAAAACCAAAAAAAAAAAAAAAAAAAAAAAAAAAAAAAAAAAAAATCTAGGAAGGGGTTTCATTAAATAAAGTGTTTGCCATGCAAACATTTTGTTTTTGGTTTTGTTTTTGTTCTTTGGTTTTTCGAGACAGGGTTTCTCTATGTAGCTTTAGTGCCTGTCCTGGCTCTCGCTCTGTAGAGCAGGCTGGACCCAAACTCACAGCCTGGCTCTGCCTCCTAAGTGCTGGGATTACAAGCATGTGCCCCCACTGCCTGGTACCACGCAAACATTTGAGCCAGGGTTTGATGTCCAGCTCCAGAGTGTATGCCTGTCATCCCAGGACTGGGATGTGAAGACAGGACTTGGGGTACCAATCTAATCTGGGAGCTCCAAGATCAAGCAGGGAGAGACGGGCTCAAAAGCCAGGGAGGGTGATTGAAGAAGACCCTTGTGGTGTAAATTTCCCCAGAGCTTTCCTTCCTGCAGCTAAACTCAAGACAGAAAGTCAACAACTCAAAATAATTTAAAGAAGTCCCTGGATTTCACTGCCCCATCCCCCTGAAAAGAGTGTGGTAAAGACGGATGAGAGTCATTCTCAGACAGGCCTAGCTGCCTGGTGTCTGGTCCAAAGGAAGCTCCAATTCTCCAACCACCAGAAGACAAGTTCATCTAGAAATGAGCTCAGGCTGGACTATTGGATTCCTGGGGTTAGATTCCTCAGGAACTTGTGAAACCAGCCCCCATCTGCCAAAAGGAGTCATTCCCCTGACCTTGGGAAGAAGGACAACTGCCTCCCTGTGGTTGCATATCACAGCACACGCTGGGGGCCTCCAGGCTCCCTCAGCGTCACAAGCGCCTGTGAGACACTTCAAAGTGCAGGACAGCATCCCAGCCCTTCTCACCTCCCCGGGTCCCCTCCTCCCAGATGCCTGTTTGTTCTCCTTATTTATCTCTCTCTAGCTATTACTCCTCCCCTCTCTGTCTGTCTGTCTGTCTGTCTGTCTGTCTCTCCTCTGTTCTCTGTCTCTTGCTGTCCTACTGTCTCCACTATTCTCTCCCATTCTCCTGCTACCCTAGCCCTGGCCATGTCCAGTCCACTTCTTTCCCCCTCTGCTCTGGACTATTCCAGATGCCTCTGGCTGTTCTCTCATATCTACAATAAAAACCCTTGCTGGGTGGTGGTGGTGGTGGTGGTGGTGGTGGTGGTGGTGGTGGCGCACGCCTTTAATCCCAGCACTTGGGAGGCAGAGGCAGGCGGATCTCTGTGAGTTCAAGGCCAGCCTGGTCTACAGAGCGAGATCTAGGACAGGCACCAAAACAACACAGAGAAACCCTGTCTCGAAACAACAACAACAAATAATAAATGAATAAATAAATAAATAAATAAATAAATAAATAAATAAATAAAAACCCTTACACTATCAGGGAGTAGTTGTCAGCATTTCTTTACTGCACCCCCTCACATTTAGTGCTGAACACCAGGAGGGACACAATAGACCCCTTCCCAAAAGGACCCAGCTGTTACAGGTAGGCCACCAAAGATGACCACTCAGGAACAGTTTATAGCCAACTGAAAGTCTTTATAGCTTGGATGGAAAGGTATCCTGGCAGTCGGGAGCCAAGGGATACCACAAAGTCACACTGTATAACAAACCTCACACAAGAGGCTATTGGGAGGGGAAAAAATCAGGAGGGTGGCTGCCTCTGCTCAATCGAGAAACAGCAGGGAACTGAACAGAAGGCAGAGTTTATATAGCGTTTCTTGGAGAGGTTGGTGGAACTTTTCAGTGTGAAACTTTCCAGGGTGGGAATCGGTGGGATGTCAAGTCTAGAGCTTGGGCTTTTTCCTCTGTCGGGCGGGGCAGTGTCCAGCTTTAGGACAGCTAGAGTGTTCTGTGGGTGGAACCTGGCAGTCCTGGGGAAAGGCCCAGATACTTGTGTGCCTAGAGGACCTTACATTTATTCTAGCCAGCTGGGACTACACCCAAGTATTTGGGGACCTAAGTGTATCCCCAAGTGTCCAGAGCACAGGGATTTTGAAGACAAAAACCATATCCTGGCATCTCAGCTGCTGTAGGTAGAGGTTTCTGTCCTACCCACCAGTTCCCAAATAACCAACCAATGGAGGCTTAATATAAGTTATAAATGCTTAGCTAATAGCTCAGACTTGTTACTAGCTAGCTCTTACATTTAAATTAACCCATATTTCTTATCTGTGCTTTGACAGGTGGCTCATGGCTTGTTACCACATTTTCTACACATCCTGCTTCCTTGGTGGCTGGTTGGTGTCTCCCCTGACTCTATCCTTCTTCCTTCCATCATTCTCTTAGTTTGGTTGCCCCACCTATAATTCCTGGCTGGCTACCAGCCAATTAGCTTTTTATTAAACCAATCCCAGTGACAGACCTTCACACAATGTAAAGGAATATTCCACAGCAAGCTGCTACAGAAGCAAGCAGTTTAACAGAAGCTAAGATAAGAAGTTAGCTGGAGGGGGCTCTGCACAAACTGGCAGTTTAACAGAAGCTGGGATAAGTTAGCTGGGACATCCTGACCTCAGGTTCCAATAAAGTTGAGTAATGTTCCATGGAATTCTCTGTCAAGAAGATCAAATTCCTGAAATGGCCTCAGCAAGAATACAAGATGGAGGAAACTTTGAACTGTCTTGCCCAGTCACACAGCCTCTCCTAACTGAACCAAGCTGCTGATGTGACTCTCCACAGGTACGGATCCTTTGTTCCTGCTGGCTTCTGCCACCCACCATATTCAACTCCGCACTTTAGTGTCCATCTCTTCAGCTGCTCCTCCCCTTCACCTCTCTGGTCTATTCAGGTGTTACCTTGGAGTTTTTGGCTCTCTGTCTCCTTGGGCTCCTGAAGCCTACTACTGCTACAAAAGTCATGCCAGTGAGTCATGTGTCATCCTACTGGACACCCACCGGTAGTGGGAAGGGAAGCCTCTCCTTTGTAATTTGGGACATTTCACTCTGACAAGTCTCCTGGTCCACTTGGTTTGGGGACACCCTGTATTGAAATCCCCCCCCCCCAGCTGAGGACCGAACCCAGGGCCTTGTGCTTGCTAGGCAAGCGCTCTACCACTGAGCTAAATCCCCATCCCCTGAATTGAAATTCTTGCCACAGGACACTTACTCCTTTCTCTCCCTCCCCACCTACCACCCCCTTTCCTAAAGTCTCTCCCATCTTCTCCTCCCTTTGCTCCTGGCTCCCTCCCCACCTGTCTCTCGGCTCTCATGGAGCTTGCTCTGTCCCTCCTGCTTGCCTGCTGGAGCCTGAGCTCCATAGGCTCTTAATCTCTTTCCCTCCTTGGACTGCGATTTTTTGAAAGCTTCACTGTCTTACTGCAGATGGCTTGGCCTCAGTAATAGGTTTTCTGTACCCCGATAATAGGTTTCTCCACTGATGCAGTAAGCCAGATCAAGCCGAATTGAAAAAGTATGACAACAGGTTTATTTGAGCAAAGCAACTCCCGGGTGGGCTCTTCAGTCCCAGAGATTGAGGCTGGAGAAGTCACGTGCCTGAACTAAAGCAGAGAGATTATGTAGCTCGTAGGCGCGGACTTGGGCCGCTGGCAACTTCCGGGGAGGAGCTCAGAACTGGGCTCTTTGGTGCCTTCCCTTCCTGTGTAAACACTGCAGCTCGGATGGGAAGGTATCCTGGCAGCTGGAAGCCAAGGAATACCACAGAGTCACACAACAAACCTTACCCAAGAGACTTATTGGGAGGGAAAAACCCAGGAGGGTGGCTGCCTCTGCTCAAGCAAGAAATAGCAGCAAATTGAACAGGATAGAGAGCGTATAGAGAGTTTCTTTGGTAAGAGGATGGAACTTGCCAGGGTGGAGATTGGTGGGATTTTTTTTTTGTCCAGAGATTGAGCTTTTTATTCTGTAGGATGGGGGCAGGGTCCAGCAGTTAGGGCAGTTAGAGTATTCTGTGGGTGGAACCTGGCAGCTAGAGGTCCACTGGAGGGGTGGGGGGTGGGAGGGCCTGGCCAGCCACATGACCCAAGGGGCTTATACTCTGAGTGGGGTTTGGAGAGACAGGAACGGGCTTCTCAGACCATGCAGGAGCTGCAAGAAGCAAGCTGGAGTTTCCAACCAAACACTCAGTACAGGTCAATGGTCAAAGGTGGCACACTTGATTTCCAAACTCTTTTTTTTTTTTTTTTGGTTTTTTCGAGACAGGGTTTCTCTGTGTAGCTTTGCGCCTTTCCTGGAACTCGCTTTGGAGACCAGGCTGGCCTCGAACTCACAAAGATCCGCCTGCCTCTGCCTCCCGAGTGCTGGGATTAAAGGCGTGCGCCACCACCGCCCGGCGATTTCCAAACTCTTTTAACAACTTCTGCCACTGCACAAGCAAATGATCCCAACACAACATCTCTTATCTCTAAACTTTCTGTGATCTCCACTCACAAAATTTTCTTTCTCTTTCTCCCCCCCCCCCCACCTTTTTTTTTGAAGACAGGGTCTCTCTACATAGTTCGGACTGTCCTGAAACTCACTATGTAGATCAGGCTGACCTCGAATTCATGGAGATCCACCTGTATCTGTCCCCCAGAGTGCTAGAATTAAAGGCATGTGCCACCATGCCTAGCCAGAAAATGTCTTATCTTTAAGCCTTCTTTACTCTCTTTCAGACATATTCAAGGGAGCACCATAAAGAAACTGACAACATTGTGGGCAGTGGTGGTGCAGGTCTTTAATCCCAGCACTCGGGAGGCAGAGGCAGGTGGATCTCTGAGTTTGAGGCCAGCCTGGTCTACAGAGCGAGTTCCAGGACAGAAAGGGCTACACCGAGAAAACTGGTCTCAAAAAAACAAACTAAAAGGAAATTGGGGACATGACGCTTCATGATATGGGTAAGGATTTTTATTGTAGATATAACAGGCATCTGGAAGAGCCCAGAGCAGAGGGAGAAAGAAGTGGACCGAACATGGCCAGCAGACTGGACATGGCCAGGACCAGGGAAGTGAGAGAATGGGAGAGGACAGTGGAGACAGTGGGACTGCAAGAGACAGGGAACAGGGAAGGTGGCAGCAGGGAGTGGAAGGAATAGCTAGAGAGAGAGAATAGTGGGGGGGGGGAACCCTGCCATTATAAAGAGAACAAACAGGCATCTGGGAGGAGGGGACCCGGGGAGGTGAGAAGGGCTGGGATGCTGTCCTGCACTTTGAAGTGTCTCACAGGCGCTTGTGATGCTGAGGGAGCCTGGAGGCCCCCAGCGTGTGCTGTGATATGCAACCACAGGGAGGCAGTTGTCCTTCTTCCCAAGGTCAGGGGGATGACTCCTTTTGGCAGATGGGGACTGGTTTCACAAGTTCCTGAGGAATCGAACCCCAGGAATCCAATAGTCCAGCTTGAGCTCATTTCTAGATATATGAACTACCTGTGAGACCTAACACCTGGTAGATGCAGCAACCAGTCAAACTGCCTAAAGAAACAAAGAACAGCTGAGCCCCTGGAAAGGACACCCTCCAACCTGTTAAGATGCCTGATGGCTGTTCAATGTATAAGTGTTGCAGCTTGGGTGGGAAGTTATCCTGGCAGTCGGGAGTCAAGGAGTGCCACAAAGTCACTGAACACTTAGCAGCTTACAGCCCTGCTCCAGGGAAAGGTTTCCCCAATGTAAGTGCAGCAATTCTGCTCAGACAGGGGAGAGCTTCCCCAGCAAAGTCGTTATAGCTCTGCTGAGCTCTGCTCCAGAGAAGTGTTACAGCTCCGCTTAGATCCTCCAGAGTGCAACAACTCCGCTCTGCTAGGGGAAAGTTTCCCCAGCGAAAATGTTACAGTTTTGCTCCACTGTGCTCCAGCTCCAGGGAAATTTGTTACAGCTGCCCCTGGATCCCCCCCTTGGATGTCACACCACACAACAAACCTCACTCAGGAGATTTAATGGGAAGGAAGAAGCCAGGAGGACAGTTGCCTCTAGGGTGAGAAGCAGCAGCAAACTGAACAAGGTCCAGAGCCTATATAGGGTTTCTTGGGGATGAGCGGAGTGTTCCAAGGTTGCCTTGGGATTGGTGGATTTTTGTGGCCTGATTCTGGGGCAAACTCAGAGACTGATGGGATTTTGAGGTCAGGGGCCTCAGGGATTGGTGGGATCCTGTGCTCAGGGATTGGTGAGATTCTGCAGCCTGACTTGGGGACAAACTCAGGGACTGGTGAGATTTCCAGCCTTTGTCCTGTGGTCAAGTCAGGGTGTTTTTCCTTTGTCCAGGTCTTGGGTTTAGTTAGGGGCAGGGCATTTTTTTTCCCTTGGCCCTTTTAACCTAGCCGGTGTGCTCCAGATTTCTAACCTTTGTGAGCTCGCATCCATGCTGGAGTGGGCTTTGGTGATGCAGGCATCTTTGAATCATTTTTGTTCCTCTAAGTAACCCTTCACTGATGTTCCTCTAAGTGATGCCAATAAAACTCTTTGGTTCACCAAATTGCACTTTGGTGGTACCCATACTTTGGTCTGTCATTGGTTCTTTATCTGGGGTGAGAAAATTTGTAATTTGTTCATGTTACCCTGGGAATAGTGTCACACAACACACCTGATGTTGACCTCAGGCCTTCACATTGACACATACCCACACACAAATAATTCAAAAGAGATTGACATAGAATAAGCTGCCCCTCATATTGACATATTAACTGCTGTTGTGGAATATTATTTAAGGTGTGTTATATTTTTTTATGCTATGGAACATTTGTTTGATGATTCAAAGATGTATTGCATTCTTTTATGTTGGATTTGTTTAAGTCTGTGAAGCTGTGTTACTTTGCCTGTCTAAAACACCTGATGGTCTAATAAAGACCTGAATGGTCAACAGCAAGGCAAGAGAAAAGATAGGCGGGGCTGGCAGGCAGAGAGAATAAATAGGAGAAATCTGGGAGGAGAGGAAGAAAGAGCAAGAGAACATGGAGAGGACTTCAGGGGCCAGCCACCAGGCTACACAATCAGCAATGGAGTAAGAAAGAAAGATATACAGAAATAGAAAAAGGTAAAAGCCCATAGGCAAAAGGTAGATGGGATAAGTTAAAGTTAAGAAAAGCTGGCAAGAAACAAGCCAAGCTACAACCAGGTAGTTATAATTAAGAGTAAGCCCCCCTGTGTAGCTTATTTGAGAGCTGGGTGATGGGCCCCACAAGAGCCAAAAGAACAAATCAGTCAACTACAACCCCCCCCACTCCAGACCTCAACTGTAGATTAGTGTGCATTCTGACTTTAAGGAAAACCTTACCATGCTGCTTTTTCATCCTGTGAATTGGTATAAGAACCTTCATTTCTCTTCTACTGGGGCGAAGTGTTAGAAATAGATCTGGTGTGGTGGTTTGGATAACAATGGCTCCCATAGGCTCATATATTGGAATGCTTGGTCATTAGGGAGTGATGCTACTTTATAGGGATTAGGAGGGGTGGCCTTATTACAGTAGGTATGGCTTTGTTGGAAGAAGTGTGTTACTGGGGGCGGGGGTGGGCGCTGGGGTTTCAAATGCTCAAGCCAGACCCAGTCTCTCTCTTTTCCTGCTGCCTGTGGATCTGAATGTAGAACTCTCAGCTACCATGTCTGCCTGCATGCCACCATGCTCTCCTCAATGAGGATAATGGACTAAACCTCTGAAACTGTAAGCAAGCCCCAATCAAATGCCTTCCTTTATTAAGAGTTGCCATCATCATGGTATCTCTTCAGAGCAATAGAACACTAACTAAGACATCTGGGATCTCAATATCCAAAAATCCTTCAGCAAAATGTTTTACAACAGCCTAGGTCTGGAGAGATGGCTCAGTGGTTAAGAGCACTGACTGCTCTTCCAGAGCACCTAGGTTCAATTCCCAGCACCCACATGGCAGCTAACAACAGTGCATAGCCATGCATAACCAAGCAAGTAAGCAAGCTTGCATTTATTTTACCCCAGTGCATAGGGGTACCACTCCTTACTGTGAGTGGCCACAGTACGACCTCACTTTTGTTGTTTAAATAAGGACATAATTATTATTATTTTTTTTTTTACTTTTGTGAATGTGTGTTTTTCCTGCTTCTGTGTCTGCACTACATGTGTGCCTGGTGAAGGGACACATGCCCACTCGAGCATATGGCTCTGGCAGGTCTTGCCCTTCTCCCCATTCCCTCTGCCTTGCTATAAAAAAAAAACCCACTAGATTACATAGGGGTTGGGGATTTAGCTCAGTGGTAGAGCGCTTGCCTGGCAAGTGCAAGGCCCTGGGTTCAGTCCTCAGCTCTGAAAAAAACAAACAAACAAAAAACCCACTAGATTACATTCCTAAAGCTAGCCACCAAAGTTTATTCCTTTTTGGCCACTTCCTCTTCCTGAGGCTGACTACTGAGGTCCAGCTATCAAAATATTGAAATCCATCAATCAAAAGCCCTCTTTTATTGCCCCAATTAACATGTTCAATTTAAACACATCATCCTAACACGGGGTTCCCCTTGTACCTTTATAAACTGCCATTTGCCTATGTGCCACGTCTGTCTCTCCTCTGTCCACAGGCAGTCTTGTCCCTCTGGGACAAATACTCCCTCCCCTGTCCCCTTCCTCTACCCCGTCCTCTATCTCCTTTAGCGCCTCATCCTAGCCCATTCTAAGACAGACCTCCCCTTTTCCTCCTCTTAAAAATTACACCTGCGAGGCCAGAAAACCTTTTCTTCCCCACTTAATAAAGGATCTCTCTATGAAAACAGGTCTTTGGGTGTGGTTTTTGCCTAATCCAGGGTTTGGGAGGAAGCCCCCACTGTTCATGGGTCTCTTTCACTTGGTACCCCAGAATGTCAGTTCTTCTAAAACTGGAGTTACAGATGGTTCTAAGTCACCATGTTGGATGCTGGGACTTCAACTCGGCCCTCTGGAAGAGCCATCTCTCCAGCCCCTAGCCTCCGAAACAAGTCTTCCTCTGTCCTCCCAGCTCCCTATAATGACAGGGGGACTTCTTATTAATTATGAAAGCTCAGCCTGTAGCTTAGACTTGCTCCCAACTAGCTCTTATGCTTAAACGAATCCGTTTACATTAATCTATGTCCTGCCATGTGGCTTGTGGCTGTTACCTCTCCTCCTGCACATCCTTCTGGCTCTCTTCCCCTGGCATCTCTGCCTTCCTTCTTTCCAGAGTCCTCTCTGTGTCAGGCACTATTGCAAGTCTTTGACACGGGGTCTAGGCTTTCCTAGATAAATACCTTGGAGACAGGCGCTACAGTGGCGGGCAGTGTCACACACAGTCTTGTTCAGTGGGGTTGTGTCCTATGTGCTCCTGCCAGCACTGCCCGCCAGCTCTGGCTCCTTTGCAGCCTCCCCCACTTCTAATATGGTCAGATTTTAAATTCAAGCCATTCTAGGAAGCACAGGGACACTTATTTATTTTTGGTTTTTCAAGACATAGAGTTTCTCTTCGTAACAGCTCTGGCTGTCCTGGATCTCGCTCTGTAGCCCAGGCTGGCCTCAAACTCACAGAGATCCACCTGCCTCTGCCTGCCAAGTGCTGGGATTAAAGGCATGCACCACCACTGCCAGGCTTATATCTCAACATCTTAAAGTGGCTCCCAACATTTTTTTTAAAACTTTCTTTTATTCTTTGTGTCTTTCACATCATGTAACTCAACCCTATTAACTTCCTGTCCCTTCATATCTGCCCTCTGCCCTTGCAACTCCCCCCTAAATAGAATAAAATTTAAGAGAAAAAAAAAGAAAAAAAGTATCACCATGGAAGCTGCAGTGAGTCACACGGTAAACTCTTTTTTCCATATATCTTTACTTACAAGTTTTCATTGCAAAAAGTTCATTGGCCTGGTTCAAGGCCTCTAATTTCTGCTACAGGATGGATGCTGGGCCCTCATGGGGGCTCCTCCTGTTGTTGTCATGGAGATCCTGCAGCTTTGGGTCTGCAGGACTGGCGCCTTTACATGCTCCCATAGATCATAGATGGGGTAACTCGTAACCCTGGTATCATATTGGGCCAACTCAAGCCTGGTTCTGGGCCTGGGTAGTTGCAGGGTTGGTCAGCCTGCCAGCTCTCCCCCACCTCACCACCAGGGGGAGCTCTCCAGCATTGCCCCGGCTAGGCCACAAGGAGCAAGGGTTGGGGCCAGTTCTGCTTCCAGGCCCTCTGAGTCAGCTCCCCACACCTGAATCATCAGTCAGCTCTTCTGTGGGGTCTAGGGACCACTCTCCCAGGTGCCGCAACTAGGGAGACAGCTCTTGGGGGGGGGCATCTTTCCTTTGCCCTAACCACATCACCATATGGCAGAGGAGGGGCAGGACCGAATGTCCCACTCTCACATTCTTGGGGCTGGTTCATCCGCACCCGTCAATAGGGTCAGCTCTGTTGTGCTGCCCAGGTGAGGTGTAGGGTCCACTTTGCCGAATGCTGCAGCTGGTAAGGGTCAGGTCCCTCGCCCACCATAGGTGGCAGGGGGAAGTGGGGAGGGCATCTTTCCCTTGCCCTAACCACCACATGGCAGACATGGGGGGATGTGGTCAGGTATCCCAGTCACACCCTCAGGGTCAGCTCACCTGTGCCTCCACCAACAGAGTCAGCTCTACTGTGCAGTCCAGGTTAGGAGCAGGGCCCACTTCCCTGAGTGCTGCAGCTGCTGAGGGGCAGGGGCAGCTCTCCCACTTGCCTCAGGCATCGAAGGAGGGGAGGGAGGACATCTCTTCCCCTCCCATGCCATATGGCATATGAGGGACAGGGCCAGATCTCTCATGCTCACATTCTCAGGCTTCCAACATCTTTTTTAAGATTTATTTATTTATTTATTTATTTATTTTTTTTTTTTTTTTGGTTTTTCGAGACAGGGTTTCTCTGTGTAGCTTTGCGCCTTTCCTGGAACTCACTTTGGAGACCAGGCTGGCCTCGAACTCACAGAGATCCGCCTGGCTCTGCCTCCCGAGTGCTGGGATTAAAGGCGTGCGCCACCACCGCCCGGCAAGATTTATTTATTTATTATGTATACAGTGTTCTGCCTGCATGTATGCCTGAAGGCCAGCAGAGGGCACCAGAGATCTCATTACGGATGGTTGTGAGCCACCATGCAAGTGGCCAGGAATTGAACTCAGGACCTCTGGAAGAGCAGCCAGTGCTCTAACCGCTGAGCCATCTCTCCAGCCTAGCTTCCAACATCTTAAAGATTGTTACCACCCATGGATGTCACAGTGGATATATTATATTTTTTAACTGAACATTCTGTGCATATGTGTGGGGGAGGAGCATGCACATGCCACTGTCTGCAGCGTGGCAGGCAGGCACAGAACAACTGTGGAATGGGTTCATCCCTTCTCTGCCATGTAGGTTCTGGGGACTGAACTCAGGCTATCAGGCCCCTCCACTACAGCTGTCACCTACCAAATGCTAAATCCCTTAAGCTCACAACTCCCCGAAGCAGGCAATACACAACACAATCTCTTCCCTGCCAGTAACGATTTATATAATAACCTCAGGGAGCCTCGGGAAGTGGCCTTGTGAGTCTTACACCTTCCTGAGCTTCTTCAGCGTTGTACATTTAGTTGCCATGCTAAGTCTTCTAAAAGAGCGGCTCTCCTCTCTACACGGAATGTTTCTTTCTGTATACAGTCTCATTCTGTGGCCCCAAATGGACTATAACTCGTGGCTCCTGTCTCACCTTCTCCAATCCCAGCATCACAGGCATGAACCACCACCGCTAGAATACTTCATTATTATTTTTTTTATTAAGAGATGGGGTTGCGCTACTTTGCCCTGAATGGCCTCTACTTCCTTCTCAATCTCACAAGTAGATGTGACCAGAGCGATGTCTTACTGCCACCTCTGCTGGCACTTCCTTTAAAAAGGTAAGAGGACGTGCGTGGTGGTGCACACCTTTAATCCCAGCACTTGGGAGGCAGAGGCATGCCGATCTCTGTGTCTTCTAGGACAGGTAGAACTACATATATAGTGAGACCTTGTCTAGAAAACTCTACCCCCCAAAAGTCACAGGCCAGGTGGTGGCGCCTGTTGGTAACCTCAGCATTAGGGAGCGCCAGGAAATGGGGGAGGGGGGTGCAGCTGCAACTCTGATGATTAGCCACAGGCATCTCGACCTGGGCATCTGTGTCACACACGGAACAGACCTGTAATCGGACTCACATTCCTAGTACCAACCTGTCTTAGGGTTTCTATTGTTTCGACGCGTCCCAGAGGCAGGAGCTGATGCAGAGGCTACGGAGGGGTGCTGCTTACTGGCTTGCTTCCCATGGCTTGCTCAGCTTGCTTTCCTATAGAACCCAGGACCAGCAACCCGGGGATGGCACCACCCACAATGGGCTGGGCCCTCTCCATTGATGATTAATAGAGAAAATGCCTTACAGCTGAATCCCATGGAGGCATTTCCTCAACTGAGGTTCCCTCCTCTGATAGGTCTAGCTTATGTCAAGTTGACACATAAAACCAGCAGTACAACTGACCCCTGGTCAACTTGACACACAAACACATCACTCTTAAGCCACAACCCTTCCTTTCTTATTCTTCCCCAAGACCTCACATTAAAAATGTCTGCAGGATGGGCAAGGGGAAGAGGGAGGGGATTCCAGGCTGCGAAGTGAGGCTGTGAGGAACGACGCCAAAGGCCTTTCCAGACTTTTCGCCTACAGAGCAGCCTAAGGTGAAACCGAGCCCTGTCCCCCATCTCCGGGCGGTGCACCTCGACTCAACTCGGGCCGACGTCATTTGCCGGCTCCCGGCTGGGCGCCGCCATGATGCGGTACGGAAGCTCACAGGCCTCCTCCCGGCGCCGTATCGCTCCGGCTGTGGCGCCTCAGTTCGAAGCCTCCGGAAGGCACGGCCGCCTGCCACTGCGCTTGCCCGTCGCTCGAGGCCCCGCCCCGCGCCCACGGGCGCCGCCATGTTGGGGGTCCTCGCTCGGGACACGTAGGCGTCCGCGTAAGATGCCGGCCGGCGCGCGCTACCGCCGCCAAGATGGCGTCCATGCGGGAGAGCGACACCGGCCTGTGGCTGCACAACAAGCTGGGCGCCACGGACGAGTTGTGGGCGCCGCCCAGCATCGCGTCCCTGCTCACCGCGGCGGTCATCGACAACATCCGCCTCTGCTTCCACCGCCTCTCATCGGCTGTGAAGCTCAAGCTGCTGCTCGGGACGCTGCATCTTCCGCGCCGCACGGTGGACGAGGTGAGGGCGCGGGCCGGCCTCTCTCGGGCCAGAGCGCAGATCCTGTCTGCAGCCCGCACCTGCGCCGTACCTTTCCTCTATCCCGCTGACCGCGCGCATCTCCGGGTCGGCGCCGCTGGGCCTCCCCACTCGGCCCGACGCCTTAGTGCCTCCAGCCGCTGGGCTGTGCTGGGGCTCGGGGGTCGTGGGGCCAAGGCCGGAACAGCCCTCAGCCAGGCAGGCCCGGCGCGGAGTACTGGACCCTGCCTTTCCGAAGCCTCCTTTGGGTTGGGGCTCTTAGTGTAACTTTCCAAGTGACTGCTGACCTTAATTTTGTTGCTTTTGCCTCACGGAGTATCAGTCTGGTTAGCTTCCTCTCTATTCTGTGGACTCCAGTTCATTCTTACTCCATGTTGCATCTCTGTGCAAAATATACGATTCTTTGCAAACACACACACACAAAATATATGTACAGGGTCTCACTGTGTAGTCCAGGTTGACCACGTACTTGGTGTCCTCCAGCATCACTATCTGGAGGGCTGGGATTGCAGGTCTGGGCCACCACATCTGACAGCAAAAACACCGAAGTATCTTAGTTTTTCAACATCTCTGGTTACCGTTATATCATTAAGGTTGGTTAATTTTAGTTTTTGTTGCGCTATAAAAAAAACTGCATGTTTTTTCAGTTTAGCAAATATTAATAGCTAAATGACCCACTCCTGTTATCTCCTCCATACGAGAGAACAAGGCTGCATCCTCCAAAGCACCTCCATGCTTCTCTGTCTTTCCCACAAGAGTAAACATGTATCTCTTCTTGCAGGATTATCAATTTGTGTGCATTCCTAGCAAGAGTATTTAGTTTTGGCCTCATTTGAACTTAATATGGCAGCATGTTACCATGTTACATGCATTTTCGGTGTTGTGTGGGTGTGTCTTCTGTCGGGAGACACCTGGACAGATTCATCCAAGTTGCTGCAGACAGTTTGATTTTCCATGCATTATATGGTGTTCCATTCTCCGAACACACAGCACGTGGACGATTAGGTTGTGGCTAGTTTTTTTCATTCTTTTATTTCTGTTTCATGTCAGCTGGTTCTGTTGTGACTGATACCAGGGGATGGTGAGCATGCATTTTTCTAGAAGTAGAATTGTGGGTGGCAGCAGGATTATGGCCAATTGTCTTTTCACAGTGATATTATCAAGTAATACTAAAACATATAGGGCAAGTAAATGTGTAGGTATTACTAGGATGTTTGGTTGAATGTTGTGTCATCTGTTTGTTTTTCTGTTGGACTGTGTGTGTGTGTGTGTGTGTGAGAGAGAGAGAGAGAGAGAGAGAGAGAGAGAGAGAGAGAGAGAGAGAGAGAGAGAGAGAGTTGTTCAATTTTTTCCTCCCCCGGTTGTCTGTTTTTCTTGACTTGTTGCTTTGGAGGAATAGTCTTTTTAATAGATGCTGGCTACTGTCTGAGTTCGGTGACATGTTACAGCTGTTCCCAGCTATGGCTTAGCTTTTTGGATGAAGCTCTTGGTTCCTAGGCAGGTGGTGTATTGCCTCTCCTTCCCTGTGGTCGATGCCTGCTTGGCCTTGTTCAGGAAGGGCTCCTTCCTTGATGCTAGGCACCCTGGCTCTCTAGTTAGCGCTGTATGGTAAACCTCATTCTCCCATGGGCTAGGACTGGTTTTGTGAAGCTGAGAGTTCAGTTTTACATGTGGCTATGAACGGTCCAGCACCACCTGCAGATTGACTCTCTTTTCTGCACTGTGTCTTCTGCTGTGAGTGTTTCTGAGCATTTTTTTTTTTTTAAGGCATTTGCCTGTTGTGCTAATAATGTGCTGAGCTACTTACTGTAGGTGGAGATTTTCCTGTTCCCACCACCTACTCCCAAATAATCACTCAGGGACTTAATATAAACTATAAATGATTGACCAATAGCTCAAGCTTGTTACTAACTAGCTCTTACATTTAAAGTTAACTCATATTCCTTATTTAGGCTCTGCCACATGACAGTACCTTTGTTGGCATGGCTCCCTCTGCATCTGGCTGGCGACTCCTCTGACTCCGCCCTTCCTCATCCCGTCATTCTGTTTGGCTTTCCCGCCAAACTTTAGCCCTCCTAACTTTATCCTGTTCACCTGTTGGCCAGTCAGCTTGTTTATTTAACTAATCATAGTGACATATATTCACACAGTGTGATTATTCCACAGCAACTTACTGTTACTTTATTGTTAGTGTGTCTTGATGTGTGACATGTTTTTAACAAAATTTCAGTCGTTTGATTTTACCAATAAAGACTCTGGAGCCTGTAGCTAGAGTTTTCCTGCCTGGCCCACAGTCACGACAAGTCTATCTCATCTGCTAGACCCACAGCCGCTCAGACCCGACCAAGTAAACACAGAGAGTTATATCGCTTACAAACTGTATGGCCGTGGCAGGCTTCTTGCTAACTGTTCTTACAGCTTAAATTAATCCATTTCTATTAATCTATACCTTGCCACATGGCTCGTGGCTTACCTGCATATTCACATGCTGTTTCTCATCATGGCGGCTGGCAGTGTCTCTCTCACCCAGCTTCCTGTTCTCTCAAATCTCCTCTCTGTTAGTCCCGCCTATACTTCCTGCCTGGCCACTGGCCAATCAGTGATTTATTCATTGACCAATCAGCAACACATTTGACATACAGACCATCCCACAGCAGGAGCCAGATTTTGTGTGTGTGTGTGTGTGTGTGTGTGTGTGTGTGTGTGTGTCTGTGTGTGTCTGTGTGTGTGAAAGCCTGCTAGCTCAGAGAAGCAGAGAAAGCTGACCTTCCTCCTCAGCTGACATCCTAGAAGCTTCTTTCTCCTGAGATATCTCAAAACCTCTCTTCAAACTGAATGTCCCTCCCTTCTACTTCCTGTGTATCTCCATCTGTCCTCCTGACTCCCTGTTACTCTCTGTGGTTTCTTCTTCTTCTTCTTCTTCTTCTTCTTCTTCTTCTTCTTCTTCTTCTTCTTCTTCTTCTTCTTCTTCTTCTTCTTCTTCTTCTTCTTCTTGTGGTTTTTCAAGACAGGGTTTCTCTGTGTACCTTTGCGTCTTTCCTGGAACTCAAGCTGGCCTCAAGCTCACAGAGATCCGCCTGCCTCTGCCTCCCGAGTGCTGGGATTAAAGGTGTGGTTTCTTCTTAATAATCCAATGTTCACTTCCTGTCAACTGGTTGCTTGCTCCACCTCTTGACCTATGGTTGACTTTGTTTGATTCTGTCTACAGTATTCAAGCAGAAAGCTCTTGGGTTCAAGATGTGTGCTAGGGCTGAGCCACACCACAACTAGAAACAGATTTTTCCAGGAAATAGTGCAAACTCAATGAGATATTCTGCAGCAGTGACATCCAGGGTAAAGCTTTCACCTACCCATCAGGAATGGCTTCAGCTTTTCTTGGCCCCTAGCAACTTCTATCAGTCTGTCTTTTTGTGTGTGTATCTTTTTTCTGTTTTCATGTTCGTTCATGTGTGCACATTTCTGCAAGTATGTGTGCACATGCACGTGGAATCCTGAGGCGTCTGCCTCATTTGCTCTACAGCAAACTTGTGGGCTCTTCCTGTGTCCACCTCTGTAGTGCTGGACTGTCGATATATACCTGCTGGGCAGGGCTCTTGAGGTGGGTATGGGGATCTGACTCAGGTCATCAGACTGGCTGGGCAAGCACTCTACCAACTGAGCCATGTCCTCAGCTCACAGGGTAAATGATCTTAATAGCAGAGAACCTTGGTGGGCGGTGGTGGCACACGACATTAATCCCGGCACTCAGAAGGCAGAGGCAGGCAGATTGGTCTATAGAACAAGATCCAGGACGGCCAGGACTACACAGAGAAACCCTGTCACGAAAAACAAACTACATATACATACATACATAATACATACACACACATATATAATATGATATCTAATGTATAAAGTAGAGTTTTGTGACCTAGATGTTTGGGCAGTTATTTAGAACCATAATTAAGTTTTATGATTCTCCTGTATTCATATATTTCATATTTTTATTTGCTAATGGTATATAGAAATACTTTAGACTTTAGGTAAAGAGTCTGAATAGCACCTGGGCCGAGGTCTTCCTTTTTTATTATTTTTGTTTTGTTTTTATTTTTTAGTTTTTGTTTTATTTTATTTTGTTTTTGAGACAGGGTCTCTCTACATAGCCTTGGTTGTCCTGAAGCTCACTATGTAGACCAGACTGGCCTGGAACTCACAGAGGTCCATCTGCCCCTGCAATTGAGTGCTGGGATTAAAGGCGTACACCTGTCTCTGGGCCGAGATCTTATTGTAACTGTTTTCTGTGTGCGATCAGGGTTTATTGGTTTCTTTTTCTTTTTTTTTTTTTTTTTTTTTTTTTTTTTTTTTGGTTTTTTCTAGACAGGGTTTCTCTGTGTAGCTTTGCGCCTTTTCCTGGAACTCACTTCGTAGCCCAGGCTGGCCTCGAACTCACAGAGATCTGCCTGGCTCTGCCTCCCGAGTGCTGGGATTAAAGGCGTGTGCCACCACCGCCCGACTGGTTTCTTTTTCTTACCTTACTGTACTGTCTGCTTGCTCTGCTGATCCTCCCATTGTAGCATCCTGCATTTGCCTGTTCCTCTGTATCAACTGTTGCTTTGTCTATTTAGGGTTCGTGTTAATAGGTGTATTTAACTCTGTAGTTGTTGCAGTTACCTTGTGAAACGAACAGCAGGTGGAGATCTCAGTATTTGCTAATGTTTTTTTGTTTTTTTTTTTTTTTTTTTCTGAGACAGGGTTACTCTGTGTAGCTTTGGTGCCTGTCCTGGATCTCGCTCTGTAGCCCAGGCTGGCCTCGAACTCACAAAAATCCACTTGCCTCTGCCTCCCAAGTGCTGGGATTAAAGGCGTGTTCCACCACTGCCCAGCTTCCTTAGGTCTTTTTAAAATAAGAGTTCATAAAGATTGTCTCACCTTATTTTTTCATTTTTATTACATTTATTTATTACATTGCTGCACTTTATATGCGGAGGTCACGGAACACCTTG